CCCCCCGAACACAGTCACATGGCCTTCGAAGTGTGTATGCTAAACATTACTGACGTCATATTAACCGTAATATAGTTTTTCTGTACTGGTCTGCATCAGATGCACCTGGAAATTGCATTTGTACGATTGAAAGCGACTCCCGCATTGAGGAGGAGACTGTTTTCTAGTAAAAAGGGCCTCTGATGACGTCACTCTTGGCTTTCCTCCCGAATCAAGTTTCCAGTTCATGCTCGAACTAGTTTTGAATGTTCAGACAAATAAGTTGCACTATTGAGAAGACACAATCTAAGGCTTTTATATCTCACCGAGACCGACACACAAGTGTACAGCCTTCTCTCAGTAAATGCCCATTTATACCTCCGTAGTCGCCAGAAGTACGGACCAGGTCTCCGTTTCTACCAATGATTCAACATTTAGCTGGGTTTTCCTGCACAACAAACTATATCTCGGGAGCGGACAAGGTTGGACAGGAATGCCAGGTTTATTCTCTACCAGCTATGACTGAAAATAGCAATTTTATCTGCTTTCCGTTGAAGCGCCGAACTTAAAACGCAATCGTTCTCACTTGGAACGATCAGCCAGAGGTGGGCATTGTGACGTCACCAGCTCACATACGTTCTAGGCGGTTTATACCACCTATACCAGCCAGAAATGGACGGAAAGTCAACTCTTGCGCAAGACTATCCCTGTACCTATCTTTTCCATGGCAAGACTTGTTCATTGAGCTTGAATTAATAACAAAAACCGCTTCGAGAGGATGCGATCATTGTGACGTCAGATTCATTATGTGCACTGAATGGTAAACATGGCGGGAGGCGCAAAATCAGCCTTCGGGGGCGGTAACTTTCAACCACCTGTTACTCAAGAAGGAAATACCGCCCACAACCCAAACTTGGCATAATGCATAGAGCAAAACTTCTTCTACCCAAAGACAATATTGATTAAGATTTTGATTAATTAACGGTGCACACACCAATTCTTCCGCGACAGGGGTCCACTGTAGTGCCCGGAAAAAAAGTGACGAAGGGGTTCCGATGGTTGATGTTTGAGTTTACATTTCTCATAATCTGCTGCAAAATGGGATTAACTACTAACATGGCTGGAAAGTGTAAGAAGTGGCGTGTTTTGGGTGAAAATTGATTTCGGGCCCGAGGCTTACTTCCGGGTGTCCTTCCGCCCTGAGCGCGGTGCTTCGGTTTGACCTAGTTTTGCCTTGTATGCGTTCTGGGGGTGCTGTAGCTATGCCTCGCGCGACGGGCTATTGCGATAATCTCAGTGTTAGGATTTTCTTTATACTTTTCTTAATAATACATAAGGGTTTTCTCTTTCCGACCATATAAGTCATATCGGTGGCTAAAATCTGGGTGATGGGTTTAATTCCACGTGAAAATGGCCAATTTTTGGCATCATTTTTCATCGAAAAATTCTTTTTCCCCCAAAAATTTACTAAAATGTGAGAGGTGAAAGAAATTGAAATTCTTTTGTTCTCGTAGCTAGAGGGATATCCTTCATTTGCAAACAGAGTGTTTTGGCTTAAGAGGTATTTCCTGAAAGAGACGGTCGCTAGAGTTGAGGGTATGCAGAATCGAATTGAGACCCAAAATAAACTGGGGTGTGCCCCCTCAACGGAAGTCTGGTAGACATTCTATTACACCCGAACCAACAAACACATGCTGGTAAAAATTGGCCTCATTTTCCATGTCCCAAAAGTCCCCAGATACACTACCAGGCTACCTTAAGTGTTAAACTACACACACCTTCGTACATGAATATATCCTTTATTTCGTTGTTCTTGACATTTGGTTGACTTAGATACACAATGTACACTATAGTTCAATTCAGACTATCCCTCTTGTACTAACAGTACCAAAACAGTAGTTTTTTGTGCATTGAAGAATTCAGAGGCTATACAAATCGAACAACTGTCTTTCTTGAAAAGATTTCTTGTAATAAAATTAAGGTGCAAGGGCTAAAAATAAAAGTACTGTTTTTGTCCAAGTACATAAATATAACAATAGAATTGGAATGTATAGTAAAGCAAAGGCAATTGATATATCCCTGAGTTATCTAAAGACAACTTCAACTTAAGTACCTTTTAGGCCACACCGACATAATTTTATGGATGACATCTTCTGAAGACCCCAAACTAGTGCGTGCGGTAAATAAAAAAAAAATCCGGCCAAAAAGAAAAAATGCTACTTAACCACAGGGATACAAAGCTGGTATTGTGAATTTGCAGCAGTACATAGCGACCTATACGACAAGCGGGCACAAGCCGGCTTTTTGTGGAATTTATGAATCGGCACTGTATGTATGTATCTAACCACCATGGACTACCCAGGCCTAGAGCCAGGCCAGAGTTTTGGTGGACGTGATCTTTTTTTTTTTAGAACAGGCGAAAATCAATGCGCGCGCGGATGTCATCCATAAAATTAAGTCGGTGTGGCCTTACTTGCTTTACAGAAGGAAATATCCATAGTCTATTACTACATATAGTACCTTACTAAGTAAAGTTTTAAGCAGCCTCTCTTAAAGGCTTGTATTATCAATCTATCGGTCATAAAAATCTAAAAACTTCAGTACATAGGCAATTCTGATGATTGTAGTGCACATAATATATTATAAATTTTTCTTTTTTCCCTTTAAATACAAAGATTGCCATTTTTACAAATTGCCCATATCATGATGGTCTACCAGCAACGGCCTTTATACACTGTAAGAGTTCCTGTATAAAATAAAAAGTAAAAATTTCCTAAAATAAAGTTTACATTGTACTGGCTGCAGTGTTATAATACAACATCATAGATTCCTGTCAACTTCTTTATCACTTATACCTTATGCCATGTACATTACGATAACCTAAACACTGTGGCACAGTTCTTCAACTTTATACTCTCTACTACCTCTCTACTGCCTGTGGCATTGCCAAAATCTTTTGATTCGTGCTTTTAATACAACTGTTTGCCCCAAAGAATTCCCATATCATGTTGGGTCAATACACAAGCCCAAGCAGCATGAGAATGACATTGTCGACTGGGGTGGGATCAATAAAAAAATGCCTCCACCCCTTAGCTGTTGCCAAAATGTTAACTTCTTTACTAATAACTGATGGTCATGTTCAAACCCTTAGCCTTTATCAGGCTTCGGGAGGCAGCTGGAAAGAGTAGATATCGGCCAAATAGAGAGAGATAACATGCCAGGGGAGTTGGTCTGTTGGAGAGAACATTTCGGGAGCGGCAAACTGTTCTCATAAGCAGACCAAATCCCCTGGCATGTTATCTCTCTATTTGGCTGATTTCTACTCTTTCCAGCCGCCTCCCGAAGCCTGGTAGAGGCTACAAACCCTGGTCATGATTGGTAAATGTCAGTCATCTGATTGTCACTTTTAAATACACTTTGACACAGTTTTGCTTCCATGATATCAAGCTCATCTAATGTTACATGTACCCTCCTCATACAAAATACTGTACTGCACAAGTCACCAGCACCACACAGTACAAATACCACTGCTCTCTCTATAAAAATTTGAAAGATAAAAACATGGCACATGGCTAAATCCCGCTTCCATTCCCTTGAACAAACTACTTACCAGTACAATAATGTACATGTAGTTTATAGAAATGATGCTCTTTCTGTCCATCATAATTTACTACATGTAGTATTCAAAACTTACACAGTGCGACTTCTTTCATATCCATTATGTTATGATTCATATTCACATGGCTTGTATCATCCCATTGGACATTTACAAGTAAGGAGACAATTGAAAGCAAAATGCTTCCTAGAATTCTAGACCTTTAAAATCACGTAACTCCAGAGGCCACAAAGAACAGTTGGTCCCTTTATTCCTGCCTCACATGACCAGTACTTTGTGATGATTGTCTGGGATACAACAGCATGTCGGCATAACGTACTGCACCTGTGCAAGACCCCAATTTTTCATTTTTCCTTGGATTTTTGGTCAACGTTGCATCAAAATCATGCCTGTTGCAGACAATATTTTTCCGGCATAACATTTAGAAACTACAGACGGGATGTTAACCTTACATACCCAAATACGACCTTATATGAGATGTTCTGCCGAAGTGCTATGTACAGTACAATACATTACGGGTTTCGCACAGGTGCAGTACGTTCTGCCGACGTGCTTCTTGGGTACAACAAAAACTCCTTTGTTCTTCCCTCTCTACTGAAGATCCTGCCTAAGACTCCATACTTCGTCTCCTACAGTGCCCTCTGTCTGATCAGTCTGGAACTGCAGGGGCTCCTTGTCGTCACTCCCATCTTTGTCTTTTGTCTCTGGATTGTCTTCTTCCTCTGAGGACTCCCTGAAAACATTCACAAGTATAAGTAATCTGACTTTACATTCCACTCGAACCAAACTCGAAAGTGTTCTCCATTTCACTCTATCCTCCATCAGACACTGGATTTCCTTTACTTCAGCCTGGGTAGTGTCCAGTATTTAGGTTTCTTACATATAGGTTGTCATTGAAATTAATCCAAGGTTTCCCTCAGCTTCTTTTGCCTTTTGGACGTCCCAAAGGACATCCAAGCTACATGCAGTAGCTTGGATGCTATAATGTCAGGATGTCTGATGCAAGTAAAGTGCACTGATGTATCTCACTGCATATACAGTATATCAACAATTAATGGTCTATCCCAAAGTGGTCATGTTTCTGATCTCAAATGTTCTTACAAAGCTGGAGAGAAAAGTCACCTTTTGACTTCTTTAGGCTGGGTCTGTGAGCTTGCCTTGACTTTTGGCCTCCTCTTGATGGTTCCCCCTCTGTAAGGAAACAGGAAAGGTTTGAAATATTGGAAAACACAGACCAGAATAGGGAAATTTTGAGTATAAACAAAGGAACAAACAATCACTGTCCTCATACAATTGAAGAAGTTCACTCCAAACTGATTTGTCCGTGTGGTTGAGTTGTTTAATAGGATATGGGGTCCATCAACTATATTTGGCAATCATATTTGTCAATCGTAAATAAAGAAACAGTTGGTTTATGCAAAGCACAAATGTGCCAACTTGAAGGATTTATGGTAACACAATAAGAAATGTTAACAGTTACTTTTATTTCAAAAGCACAAATAACTCAGTATCACAAATGCAGCTGTTAACCCTTTCCCTCAAGCATAGATCCATAGCAAACAAAAATTTGATGCCAAACAGCTACTAGCATGCTGCAGGTTAATCTACCTTGAGTGCATGTTAAAGATGTGGTCGTGCAGTTCAATGACGGTGTTTAGGTTGGACTCTGACTTGCTGGTCTGCATCTTCAGCAGCATCTTCAAGACGTCCCCGTCCATGGAAGACGCCCCGAGGTACGCCAGGTTACTCAGGCTGGCCGAGCGGAGGTCCGGGGAGCTGGGGTGGACGGAAGAACTGTCAATCAATCAATCGATCAATCAATCAATAAATCAATCAATCACATCTGTCACAAGATATGGATACTAGAAACCAGAAAGTTCAACGCTTGAATAAAAAGAAAACAGAATACATGCAATTTTTTCATGTGTTTTTTCATGTTGATACATGAAAAAGCTTGCAAAACTAGAAAGGCCAACATTTATTTTGGAGCGAATGCAGCAGATGGCTTCACCACATATGGGCCTGTCCACAATATGTTTCACCACAGCACTTCATGGTGGTGAAGCAATAAAAATGATGTTAATAAGCAGTAATACAATGGCACTATTGTAGCATTGTAGCAAGAAAGTTGAAAGCTGTATCAATGAAGACAAAAGGCCTGATCCTAGCCTGCATTCTTACACTATGTTAGTGTAGAGCAGTAAGTGTGTACCTTGCATGATGACTGGCATGGAGGTTTTCAATGACTCTTCTGGCCAGTTCTGAGGTGGGTCTCTTCTTGCCAGGGGAACCAGTCAATGTACTGCCGGGGGGTCCAGTGGGGCTGAGGGGGCTGTCAGGGCTATCCACACCTACATGTACAGGGATAACAGTGGTAGTCTCATGATTTTAGTGATAATACATGTACCATGGTACCCTTCACACGTGTAGTACATGTAAGTTAACATAATTCACCCAAAAATGTATTTAAACCTGTGTATACCACAGGGTACTGAACAAGAAATCTAAATATATATCAATTTGGCGTCTTGGCTTTGTAGATTAACATTAATGGAGGTTAAATGTTCCCCCCAAATATTCACAATATGCAGCACATTCAGAGTGCATATAACAGTGCAGAGTGCATAGTTCAGTTACATGTTAACAGAAACTTTTCTACTAGCATAATCTTGAACAGTCACAATGCACTAGATACTGACTTTGCACAATATACATTAAAGCACTTCACAGCTAGCTATATTTCACTAGTACATGAAACCTTCTGTCCTCATACCTGAGTCTCCTTCTGCGGCGGTGCTGCTGTCAGAATCCTGACTGTCGCTGTCCTTTCCCGACCCGTTTCTCTTCTGGGCTGACCGCGAACGCTTGGCTCTTGCTGCGGAGCGTTTGGCGGTGTTCAGCAGGCTGACCATTCCCTCGTAACCTCCGCGGAAACTCGACAAGTAACGCTCTGCCTCTGGAGAAAGTAAAACCAGCATCAGAAAACAACCAGCATTATAATTAAGGCTTTACTACAATCTTAACATGTGAAAGTTATTATTGTGTACATGTACTTGACAAATAGAAGGGACATCAGCAGTTCAGTTGGTCAATCAGAAAACAATCATCATTATAAAGGCTTTACTATAACCTTTAAATGTGAAAAGACAACAGGCTATTTTAGCTCTGAAAGAAAATCATGTTCAATGAGTGCCTCTATATCCATATATAGTTTCATCAGGTTGGTAAGTTTCTGAGTAAAGAGACTCTTTTTACACAACCAGTCAGAATTGCCCTGAGGCAGGTGACAGACGGTCACCAAAACATTGGCTGTGAACAAAACACTTGGTTGTGTAAAAAGAGTCTCTTTACTAAGTGCCTCTATATGTATCAACTATTACAAATTTGAAAGAAAATCACTAAAAATTGCCTAATCTTTTAAATTGTACAACTTTACAGCAAGCTAGCTTGAAATACTATTCAAAACCACAAACTAAACCAAAACCATGCTAACAAAATAACTTCTATACACCGAAGTATTATATGATAATTTTGTTACCTTGGCCGGACAGTGGACAGCCAGGGATGACAGCCCTCTGCAGCAGGACAGACAGCGCAGTGCTGGCCAGTTTCTGCTGGTTCTGGGATGACAACCCCCTCAACATGGCATCTTCCACTCCAGGAGCTATGGCATGGTTCCAGGACAGACTCAACCATCTGTAAGAGATGGGGGTGGTTTTCATTTATGAGTGAAAGAAGCTTTGGACTTCTGCAAAGAATTGGAGGGTATGCCTGTCCATCTTCCTACCCGCAAGCTCTCAACCTACTTCGGACAAGCAGACACACAAACCCACAGCTCAGCATCCCAAAACAATTACATGTGTACTTACTGGGAAGTACACGTGTAATACTGGGAAGTACTATATAACTAAGGGGCCCAAATTCATGTCACTTCTTCCCTAGACCAAGAGCTACCTACCATCCAAAATCCGTGACCCTAGCAAGTCCAGATCATGAGATATCAAAACCGGAAGTTCCACTGCAGAACCAATGAAAGCTGCCAGAGGGCCCAAAAGCTAAACATTTCTAGGTCTCATCAAGACCTACCTACCCACCTGCTAAGTTTCATGACAATGCATAAAGTTTCTTGAGTCATGCTGTTTACAGACAGACAGACAGAAAACATTCTTGGCAAAGGTAATTAGATATCTTACCTGAGGATAGCCTTGACTTTAGTGGCTTCGATGGGACAGGTGAAGAAGTGTCTGGGTCCCAGCACCAGGTCAGGCAGACCCAGCTTGGCCAGACAGGCGTTCAGTCTCTGCCACACCGCAGCTACCCACTCTACTGCCTTGTACACCTGAGGGGGAGGCAAGGGAAATTATCAGGACATGTAGTTGGTGTACTTTGCACTAAATCTGTCACTACTTAGCAGTTTCTATAATAATTCTGACTATTCAGCTATGCTTTTTTTGGAGGTTTAGGCTGCTTAGTAACATTTTTGTTCTTTCCCAGGAACTTCCAGGAAGACATGGACTAGAGAGCGTGAAGGACACCCTATGTATGCATACCTATAAGTATAACAAGAGCTTCAAGACTAGCCGTCAGCTGCTAACTGTCCCTCCCCACAACACGCCAGACAGTAGAAGTGGACGGATGAAGAAAGAAGAAAGAAAGAATTTTTGTTCTACTTGGTCACTAGTAAGAGCTTGACCACAAGTACCTGGTCCTCGGTACTGGGCAGCTGCCCGCCATGAGCGCTGATGAGTCTCCTGCGCAGGTGTCTCTGCAGAAGTCCCCTCACCGGCTCACTGTCACACTTCAGGTGCACCCAGCGGAACCTGGAATGAATGAATTTTTATTTACTTGTCTTGCGACTTTTGTCGCCCAGCCCATATGGGCTTATAAGACATCAGAACATAAACATGAACATAAACATAGGTACAGAAATCATAGAAACATAGATCCAAGTCAAAGGTCAGACTAGAGACATCAAATGAAATTAAAGAACTTAATACAACGTTGTGTGGGAGTCCAGGAGGATAGGGGCATAACTGAGAGACTGAGAGAACTGAAATGGATACTACAATATGTTTTTAATCTACATATTTTGTAATGACGGCTTTGTAATAATGTAAAAACGTCGGCTTGGTCTGGCGGGTATCAGCCATCAGCAACTAGAGACACTGGCAATTGACCGGGCCGGATGGCGTGCGGTGGTGAGAAAGAGTGCCGAGGCTGTGCACAGGGAGTGGGAACATAGAGAGGACAAACGTGCGAGCCGACGACACGCTGCCACTGCTACCAAGCAGGCCTCATGAACAATGAATGAACTCTAATATTATATTGGTCTTTCTTTGGACTTCTATTTTTTTTGTAACAGTCATGACTTTAGGCTCAAATCTGTTTTGTCTTGTACATGTAGATAGGAATGAGCCATCCTGTTCGACCTGCGCAGTTAGTCATAGTCTCTAGAGAGACTGACTGACATATATATATTTTGTAATGATGTATGATGTTGATTTGTAAATGATGATGATTGTAAAATGTCAATGAAATTTGTGTTGATGTTGAATAGAAAGATGTGCACCTCTGCTGCACAGACAGGTCCAAGCCAGGGGAGTGAGACTTGTCCATGGTGCCGATGATGTAACAGTCTTCAGACAGGAAGTACGCACCACTGCTGCTGCCGTCATCGTCTTTGGGACCTTCCTCATCTACAGAGAGCATGGAAAACAGCTCGTCAGATTTGTGTTCACAGGCTAGGAATTGAAGTTGAACAACCTACAACACAGATTGCGCATCAGGGCAAATTACAAAGGATATTGTTACTGTTACTCTAAATAGGCGAGTCTCCGAATACACAATGTTGCTTTAATTTGTGTACATTGTGCTCTATTTTAAGTCACTCATTATTTGCATTCTGTCTCCCATTACCTGACACTGCTATATTGAGACTAGTCCTACAAAATTTACATGGTTTGTGTACGAGAATTACGTTTTGACATCTGTTTGCACTATTTTCTTGTTTCCAGTTCAAATTTTTTGTTCAAATTCTTACTTCTTTATTCTTTCCACTCATACAGAATTCTCCTTGCATTCTCACAACTTGCATAAGATCTATGACCAGACGTACCAATCTTCATGCTTATTGGATGCTGTGGCCCGGGATACTCCGGTGCATACAGTAGCTCCCCCTGAACAGTTCAAATTTTTTTGTGCAAATTGTTACTGCTCATTCTTTCCACTAAAGCAGAATTTTCCTTGCATTCTCTCAACTCCCATAAGATCTACCATCATACGTACCAATCTTCATGCTGATTGGATGCTGCGGCCCGCGGTACTCCAGTGCGTACAGTAGTTCCCCCAGTACCTCCGACAGCGAGACACGGCCAAGGTCATCCAAGATCAGGATGGGAGCCTTCTGTGGTCCTTCAGCCGAGGTGGCAGAGTCCGCTGGTAATAGGAAACCTGCAGGGGGAAAAAGTTGGTGTCTTTCATTAATTATTGTAAATTCATTGATTTAAGTCTGAAGAACTTACATTTGAGGCACAGTGAACATTTTCAGTATCTTTGAATGGCACACTTGTGCGGTAATGAGTGATGAGAGGCAACCGTATGTATCTGTATTCTGCATAGCCAGTATAACCACCCTTCAGCATAACATGCCAGTAATGCCAGCTAACCATGTAATAAGCAAAATTACACCGCCAATATGGATCAAATGTGTTCAGCCCGAAATCTAGGAGGCTATGCACTCTTCTGGATGTTATAAAGAAGAGAACACCCTGTGACAATACAGTAAGCTGGTAGCTTGACTACATTGTAATTCACCCTCCTAGCAAGTGGTCCAGAAAATGCCGGAAGTGATACATTGTGTAACATAGACTAAGTGCAGGACTGGACAACACCACTGCCTAGGTAGTAGCCAGAGACAGACAGGCTTGGAGGACCGTATGTAGAGGGGCTATGCCCCCTAGAGGGGCATATGGAGCTGAGTGAGTGAGTGACACTAAGTGCACCAGTACCTTTAGACCTGAGCAGCTGCAGTAAGTCCCTGTGAGTGTACTTGGGGCTGAGAGCGACATGAGAGATGTCTGCCTGTACCCCGCCCTGCTGCTGTTTGTGTCTGATGCACTCGGCCAGCTTCCTCACGATGAAGGTCTTACCCGTACCGGGGGGGCCGTAAAACACAACGCTCTTGTACTGTTCTATCTGTACAAAAACAAGGAAGAAAATAGACCATGAATAATTCTGTCAGGTTGGTGAAAGATTGAATAGAAAATTCATTATTTACAACCACTTGTTTAACAAGAGCCAACGTCTTCATCAGGGCAATTATGATACAGTGAATCAGTCATACTTGTCCTGATGGAGATGACAGTCATCGAAATGTCGGCTCTTAAGTTAAACAAGTGGTTGTAAATAAATACTGTACATTGCTTAGCATGAAAGTTCATCTGTGTCGGTACAAGTCATGAAATATGAAATAAAGACTAAGCTTTCTTTCCAACACTGGAATGAATTGGGGACTTACCCCAAATTTACCATGTACATAGCTATTCAAGGAATAAAATGCTGATGATGATGCATTGTTTTTCATACATATTTTTGACAAGATATTTGGGGAATGACAGAGGTACAAATGTACATGTACAGTATTCCAACCTACCAGTCGGAGATAGTTCTGTAGTGTCTGCACTGGGATCATGGACTCGTAGGCCAACTTATCCACACAATCTTCATCTGGTCCTAAAGATAGGAGAAAAAGGAATGAAAACATTAACAAATGTACTTGTATACTGATACATGTATTAGTTCACTTTTACAAAGATGGACTGCAGAGTGTAATATACAAGCATAGCATCCAAGGAGGTATAAACAACTGACTTTTGTTTGTGGTTTGCTATAGAAAATTGTCAAATTCTCATCAGTATACAAAATACCTTGAGTTTTTTTAAGGCCTTGTCATTTATCAATTTGAGAAAGAATTTGAATCAAGATTATTTTTTAACAGACTGTAGTTGAAGAAGTAAACTTACCCTTCAGCCTGATGGCAAGATGTTTCTTGGCAGTAAAGAAGTCATAAGGAGGAGTGTCAAACTCTGTGGCAGGACTCCAGGAGATGGTACCTGTGGATGGGAACATGAGGTGTCAGTTTGCGCGGATTAAGTTGGCAGGGTACACATACATGTAGCTATCCATCAAAATAATCAATTCTACCATAGAGGATATGATCTGAGTCTTAAGTGCTGACATTTTGGTGTCTATCAGACACTTTCATCAGAGCTTCTGACTGGAGTTCTGCTTCTTGCCGCTATATGTAGCAGACGTAGGTGGCACTTTTGCGGCAAGAACACTATCCCAAACGTGGCAGAACTGCAACGTCAGCACTTAGGTGAGAAATCTTGGTTGTGTAAAATTAAACTCCTGTATCCTACTGGACATTACTACTCACCATATGTGTATGACCTGATACTGTTAGCAGTGAGTCCCAGCTCTGACACGTGCCCGTCTGCTGAGATGTCTGCGTCCACTTCCTCCACATCTGTCAGGAGTTCTGAGGCTACACTCAGCTTCTGATAAGCACAATAACAGACACATCCGTAAATCATTTCATCAGGTTGGTGAATGATCGAATAGCAAAGTTCACATGATTACCAAGCTTCAGTGCACCAGTCATAACTGCCCTGATGAAGATGACAAAATGATCAATGGAACGTTGGCTCTTGTTAAACAAATGGTTGAGAATAAATAACTTTGCAAGTCAACATGAGACAGATTAATGACATCTTTGACAGGGTTTGACAGGGTGCAAAAGTGCAGCTGAATACAACATAGTGTTTATAAGTTTTATAAATGTTGCTCTTAAAGGCTCTTTATTTCAGCTAAGACCCTCTATGTAAGTTTTATTGCATACATGTATATGTTGCTCTTAAAGTATGTAAACTTTCAAAGTAGGGAAAAATAAATTAAAGCAAACAACAGTCAGCAATATCTAATCCAATCTAATTGATAAACCAGTTCTAACAGTAACACACTTCCACAACAAGCTACATGTAGTATTAGGACCATCGAACATGAGAAAACTACATTTTACATCCATCAGCAGATACCTTACCTTGGAGTTCTGCACTAGCACAGCCCCAACATCAGCATCAAACTGACTCCAGTCTGTCCCCCGCTCCAGAGTGAGACAGCCCAGTACATACAGGTCCTCTTCTTTCCCAGCAGGGGTGGGCGGGGTGCGGGCTGGGGCCAGGGGTTCACTGCTGGTGTCTATCACAACTGAGACTTTTCTCTTTCCTGTAAAAAGAGATTGAAGACATTGAAAGAGTCAAACTTTTTCAAATACCAATGCACTGTAAGGTTAATTATTTTTGTGGGCACTTTGTTTCACAGTCAAGGGAAAAGGGTCTTTTCCACTATTTAATGAAGTCCACAGTTGAAATAATTCTCCACTACAGTAGGAATGATTTGATATTTTGAAATTGTAATACATGTGGGACACAGGCAGCTGTTGCTGGTGTTGTGTCCCACACATAGAAACAAATACAGGACAGACAATACTCATTTTCACTCAAGTTTAGTGAAGAAAGTCGTGTTAAGGGCACAAGATCGGTGGCATGTCAGGACTCGAACCCGGGACCTGTTGGTTTCCAGTCAAGCACTCTGCTGTTACGCCACACAACCGCACCGCAGTAGGAATACATTCGGAAAATCATATTTGTGGTGTCATGAATTTGCTGTTGAGAGGTTGAAAATAAAACCACTAGAAACATTTCAAAATTACCGATGTCCTCCACCAGTCCCTGACAGTCTCCCACTGCCACATCCTGCACCAGTCGGTCCCACTTGTCCCTGATGGTCAGGTCCAGCTCAGGGTGGCCACACAGTAGCTCCAGACAGTCCTACAGGGAAACAGTCACAATCTCTTGTGTGTCACCCCCTAGCAATACTGTTAGGTACTGCAGGTAATATCATCAAACAGATCCCCACAGAAATTCAAAATCCATATCAAACGAACCTCTGTCCAGTGTTCTGGCCATTCTGAATTTTTTTCAATCATCTCAGTTTTGTTTGACGCTGAAGGTGCAACAATGATACGGGTCCAGTGCTCCCCATGAAAATGATGAAATCTTGACCCTCTGAAATGTTATTTCCTGCATTTTAAGGGGCAAATTTTCCTGGTGGACTAAGCTTAAGTTTAATGACAATCTCTTCCAATGCAAATTTTTGTCTGTCAGGGATGATGGATTTGGCAAAATTTTTGGCCGTCATAAGTAACAAAATTCTATCAAATGACAGAAAGGCTGGCTAGAACACTAAATTCTATATATGACCCTACTGACCTTGAACCCCCTAGAGGCTGCGACGTGCGCTGCAGTCCAACCGTCCCTGTCCACCGCGTTGATGACGTCCTTGCTGACCAGGGCCGGTCGAGCGGTCAGCGGGCTGGCCTGGTCCTGAATGTCGCTGGCCAGAGGGTCGTAGTACAGGAGAACTTTGAGGCAGCTCACATGGCCCGAGCGACAGGCTCCGTGGAGTGGCGTCCAACCAACCTGGAAAATGAAGAAAATTGTAAGTACCTTTTTAGTGCGTGTATGCTCACATTTGACTTTTGCATGTTATAAAGTGCCGAGTGCTAAGCAGAGAAGCAAACTGGCAAAACTGTAGATATTTCACAGGACAGACTTCTCTGAAAATACTGATTTAGATAATACTGTACAAGACATAACAGGAGTTAACTGTCTCAACTGTGTAGAATATTGATAGAAAAATATATTCCTCTTAATCCCCACATTATACCCCCACCCCTTGGGATTTCTACTGACAAGTGCCTGCCTTACATCAGTGACTGCTGCACGAGATGCGAAGTAATCCAGCAGCGTGCTGCAGCAGTCGGTGTGTCCGTTAGACACGGCCCAGTACAGGGGGGACCACCCCGCCCCACACTATACCCCTCACCCCTTGGGATTTGTACTAATAAGTGCCAGGCAACAGAGCTCATGGTAGACCTAAGAAGACATGGAGTGCATCCAAAATGATATAATTGTGTGGACTATCCATGATCCAACATTGATCCACAGGACAGGGCCATGTGGAGACATGGAGTCCAGTCTAGCCGACTGCTGCCCACCCCTGAGACAGGGAAGCCAGCAGCAGTATAATCAAAGCCTGTATGTACAGTATGTAAGTGCCTTACGTACATCAGTGACTGCTGCACGAGATGCGAAGTAGTCCAGCAGTGTGCTGCAGCAGTCGGTGTGTCCGTTAGACACCGCCCAGTACAGGGGGGACCACCCCGCCTTGTCTGGCAGCCCGGGGTGGGCTCCTCGCTCCAACAGCAGCTTCAAACATCTACAGAAGGAACAGAAAAAGGTTGGTTATGGGCAGTGCTGTGTAATACTACTGTATCTAAACCCACATTCAGGTTCAGGTCCGGATTCAAGTCCAGAGGTTTAGGTTCAGTTCCGGACTTGTAAGTCTGGATCTAAACCCAGGGAATATAAAAAATAGGGAAGAGACTCCTCAATTAACACTTCCCAATGGAAAATGGGGCATCTGTACTACAAAATTTGGTAGTGATGTTGATTGTCAAAATCCATACAAATGAACAAAAACCTTTTGTGGGAAGTTGAACAACAAACCATACAAAAAGGGAAACAATACAAAACATACAAAATCACAACAAAAAATGAGAAAGGTTGGGAATTTTTCATTTTGACACTTGTCAATATCTGCACAAGATAACAGAAACTTTTTGGTAGGAACTTGAACAAATAGACCATACAAAAAAAGGAAACAATACAACAAATGAGAATGTTTCACAGAAACTTTTTGTGGGAAGTTGAACAAACAAAACGTCACAAAAGGGAAACAATACAAAACAAACATCAAACAAAAATGCAACAAAAACAAAAGAGAAAGAAAAGGTACCCCGTGTGGCCCTCAGCGGCTGCTCCATGGAGCGGTGTGAAGTTGTCATCACGGAGAGAGTTTGGGTCTCCGTTGTGAGAGAGCAACAGCTCAAGGCAGTCTGGTGCACAAATAAACTCATTACCTTCTATATCTACAACTTCCACCAACACAACAACTACAGCTGCAGGCCATAACTATATATATACATATTATATACCCACATATATGTGGGTAGCTTTTGGAAATTAATATTTGTGTACAAGCTTTAGGGTATAAAAAGAATGAGAAAAGCAATAAATTGGGCAGATGCAATCAGAAAAATGCATGTGCAGAGCAACATATGTAAGTAGCGTAAATAAGACTTACGATCATATACTTCACTACCTTTTCCTGGCCATTGTGGTACAACCATCACTACTATCTAAATCACTATCATCATTTGTCCATAATAGGAGAATTTACAAGTTCAATCAACACCTATGCATATTCTTAAAAGTAGTCAACAATGTCAACAAAAAGATGTTAGGGAAAACACTGAGTGATACATCTGAGCAAACAAGATAAAAACTTGCTGAATCATGATTTTTCTAATATTGTAGGAGAGTTGTGTTTCTGTTTTACCTAGATGTCCTCCTTCAGCTGCGGCATACACAGGTGTGGACCCGTCCCTCTCTGTCGTGTTAGGGTCTGCTCCTTCCTCCAACAGCTGCTCCACCATAGTCACATCCCCCTCCCCTGCAGCTTGGTGCAGTCGGTTGGGAATCCCTCGAACTGGAGTCTCTTCTCCCAATCCTCCCTTCTTCAGCAAAGTCTTACAGAGTTCCGCTACTTCACCTTCTACTGTGTCGGCTTCTGCCGTTTTCTGTGGAGCGCCATTGTTTTTTTCATCGTTATTAGAAGAATCACTGTGTTTGGCGTCGGTAGATTTCGCGTTGTCGTTTGGCACTGTGTTGTTGTCGTCGTTGTCTGATGATGATTCGAAGCACTGCGATTCCTTCTCGGCTGGCAGGTAGAGAAAGTTTGAGGTAGTGTGTTTTTCCCGGCGGCGTGCGTCCAACTTGCCCCCACCGCCGCCGATTTCTATCTTCAGTGTAGAGAGCTTCCTCGTCGGGCTATCGGATGGCGAAAGTTGGGATGGCGGGCAGTTGGACATCTCGGAGGATCGCGGGGAAGCCGGGCCGCGCTCACCGGTCATACCAGATGTACCATCTGTAGAAGGAGAGGCAGAGGGGGAACACAAAAAAAAATCTGCTGTAAGGCCACACCAATTTGATTTGTTGGTTCTTGGACTTTTTCATTAAAAATATGAAGGGTGAAAAAAACAGACCTAGGCATCCCATGATAGCACAAAATGATATGACAGGAGCCACGAAGTCAACATACCAGGCTGGTTTGTAATTCAAACAATGAACTTCAAACTAAAACAAATCTGAAGAGAGGAGACTTCTTTAACTGTTGGGGCTAAAATATGAGCATTTTGAGGCTGAATTTTTTTTTAGACTAGAGAAAAATGAAGCAGGCAAATCTGTGAACCAACAAATTAAATTGGTGTGGCCTAACGGTAACCTAACAGGCAGGACACATTGCAGACATGTGTGAAGAATTGTACACATGCAGGCTGACAGGAACACACAAGTGCTGAGGTATGTGGTGTACCGAAGTAAAAAATGTCCTGGACAAATAAAAAAACTGTCCCTGTGGTAACATCACTGCATTGTTGGAATTTTGTTGAGCTACATACAGTACATTTGTACTAGCCTGGGTACCATCCGGATCTTCACTCAGCAATGCTGGAAAAACAATGATTTTTTTTAACGTTGCAGAGCAAAAATCTGGATGGTACCCAGGCTACATTTGAACTTGTTTGTCTGTAATTGTTTGAGCCACGGACTCATTTGCAGTTTAGATTCTTTCTGCTAGGAGGCATTCAGGTGTGAGACTTGTACTCAGTCCACTTATAATTCAGTAGAAGGAAGGATAAGGAACAGATATGGACAGTTCAGGGTCCGGAATTACCAACTATGTCAAGCACTACCGGTGAATATTGGATAAATAGTGTTGTGGTTTAACAGATCCAAAATAAATGTACAGTTACTAGAAGTAGTACATGCTTCCTGGTAGTTTATGTTTTACTTCTGCTGTCTAATACTGCCAAACTTTCTGTAGATTTATATGTAAAGACAAATTGTAATTTTTAGAAACCGTGAACTAGCTTACACTACGTTAGCCACTACCAGGCTTCGGATGCAGCTGCAAAGAGTAGAAATTGGCTGTATAGACAGATAATATGCCAGGGGAATTGGTCTGAGTACAGTTTGCCGGGTACATTCTATTTGGCCTATTTCTAATCTCCAAGTACATGTAGATGTTTTGGTGGCCACAAAAGACACTATCAAATTGGCCAGGCAGTATCCATTTGTCACCCAGCAATTGGATACTGTCTGGCTAATGGATACTGCCTGGCCAATTTGATACTGTCTTTTGCTGCCACCGAAACATTTTGCTTGAAGATTAGCCAATTTCTACTCTTTCCAGCCTCTCCCGAAGCCTGGTAGAGGCTAACACTACGTAGCTGACTCTACCTCTGTGCCCTCCAGTAGACTAACCAGAAGAGAGAGTGAGAGACGGGTGTGGAGTGTCATTGGTTAGGAGCTGGAGGGAGGAGAGGAGTCTTGGCAGGATGGAAAGCCAGCTGCAGGAGGGAGAGAAGGAGAGAGAGACATGGTGAGGAGAAAATACACACCACAAGGGTACACCACCACATCACACAAGTACTCAGTATGGAGGCGACAGGAGAGGTGGGTACAGGTACTGTATCAGGCAGAAGTTTAGGCCAATAATTCTACTTTCTTTGATGTCGGAACCTCTCAAATATGTGTATGAAGCTGCTCTTTACACATACACATTTCATAAAACTGTGTACATGTACAATGTCGGTATAAGGTTTCGCCATTTTGTCTACCTTTAAAGTTGTATCAATTTTGTTGTAGTTTGAAGATTGAAATAACTTTTTAGAATATTCTGTCAGCTGTATTCATTTACACATTAGTTTGAAATTTAAAAGCAGAAAATTTAAAAGTGGATAATCAAGTATAGATGAAAATTGATATGGAATGACTTACTCAGTTCTATACTGCGTAAAGGTTTAACAACTTACCATGACTTCCCTCAGGAACCTTTACAGATGAAAGAAAATTTACTCTCCCACTAGTCATTGAGCAATGTTTAATCGTCACTTAATGTGATCAAAATTCAACAATGCACACACAAATGTTACGTGACTGAAGAGCAGCTCTAGATACAAATCAAATTGCTTTGTGAGTTAATCTGCCCTCTTCTACATGATAAAACCTTGTAACATCTGGAGGATTATCATATTATTAGACTATCTAATTCTCTTGCTGGTGATCATTAACTAGCTGAAAGCAGGGCTCTTGCCAGCTCAATTTTTTTCCCCCCGTCAGCCAAGGTTCATGATTGAACTTGGAGGGAGAGTGCTCGCAGTCTAGGGGGCTCTGAGCAAATTTTGGGTTTTCAAACCTTTAGAAATGCAATTTCCCGTATTTTTAGAGGCAAATCATGGGGTTGTGAGTGATTGTTGGTGATCTTGGAGATTTTGTCCATCAAGGCTGACGGATTAGTCTAAAAAATTTTCCATCAAGCCCCATAAAGTTCCTGCAATTGAGAGAAAAACGAGTGCTGGCTAGAGCCCTGGCTGAAAGAGAACGTCGAGGTTAGCATCATGAAATTATGATACACGTCATGAGATCATTGTTAACTGCACTTGCATGAGCAGAAATATGCAAGCAGTGGTTAATTAGTTTAGTCAATATGCAGTCCAAGCAAATATTTGACGAAAAAGGGGCTGTTTCAAGAAACATGACATACAAAGGCAAGATGGCACCTAAAACATTAAAACAGTGGACTAAATGTACGTCGATGAAGGTAAGACATCCAGGTAATACGATACGCCAAAAAGCAGTTACTCAAGCAACTGGATATTTTGGAAATGGTCAGACGTTTCAGTAAGTATCCACTAGCTTTCGTCAGTGACTGATTAAAAGTGTTTGAAATATGAAGACAAAAAAGAATGACAGTTGGCAGTTTTCTTTAAAATCGTCCATCTTGCCCTGTATCTCTTTCATCCCTGAAAAGCCCCAAAGCTTGACTAAAAGCTGGGAGACAGAAGTGGATTAAAAACAGATATGAACAATGCTGAAAGGTTGTGAAGTGCACAGGTGTTGGTGGCTTCAGGACAAAGCAGTTTAACGTTTGCCGACTGTGTCGATAGCAACCTTGCTCTCCTGTGAACACACCGCAAACTAGCCTCCATAGCATACCAAAAACTGGGGGTTTTGGGGGTCTTCATCGTCTTTGGGATCGGAGCTTTTATGCACTATTTTCTGATTGCATATAGACAGTATAGCAGTCCTGGTTGAATTACCCCCGTTTTTTTAGAACTGGGCTAATCAGAAAACAGCCGAAGACCACCAAACCCCCAGTTCTATAAGCCTGCTACGGAGGCTACTGCAAACAGCCTGTGATTTTAACCACCTTTGATAGTATAACAGCACAATACAACCTTTCGCCATCTCAGGGTTAATGTTTATAGATGGTAAAAAGCAGGGTATATATATGAAACCAGGCATGCATGCGAGGCAGTGTGGTCTACAAGCTGCTACGTGTATATAAAAAGCTAGTAGAAGGCAGTTTTTGTACGTAATCTTCTCTACTGAGAGCGAGATCGACTTTCTCAGTTTTCTTTGCTTTTACCTGCCATCATTTCAGTAAGCAGCTGATGGATCTCTGCCATATCAGAACTGAAATCATCGTGAATGGGCGGGGCTGCAGCGTTGCTAGGCGACGGATCTGCACCCACCTGGCTTGTCTTCTTGGACGTCGTCTCGGCTGCTTCTGATTGGTTGCTGGCGGTTTGAGAGGAGGGCGCTGATTGGCTGCTGGAATGAGAGACTGATCCTGATTTGTTGTTGGCAGCAGAGGCCAGAGAGCTTGGCCTGTTGTTGTTGTTGGCTGTGGGTGATCGCACGCCGGCGTGTCTGTTATACGCGACGTTGGACAGAGGCGTGCCGTACCGCTGCCCCACACGGGCGCTCCCTGGTGTCACGGGGTGCGGGCTGTTCGGACTGTTGTCTGAATCCGACGTTGAGCTTCCAGAGCTACCCGAGCTACCCCTGCTGTACCCCGACTTTGGGGTAGGGGGCGTTGTTGCAACAGACTTGATGGGAGCGGCGACGGCTTGCTTCCTCACCTCCAGCTTCATCCCGACTCCCGGGGAATTCCGTCCATCCTTCAGAGCAGGGTTCGGCTGCGGAATGTGGAGGGGTTTCTTAGGGATCGGCGGTGGACCCTTCCCTGGCAGTCTCCTTGCTCCGGGTGAGACTGATGTAGGAGACACGACTAGCGATCCTAATGCTTTCGCAGGCGGGGAGGTGACTTTGGCATCCGGACTTCTCTCCGCAGCCTTGCTCTGTGACTCTGTAATCGCCAACTCTGAGTCCGCGTTCGAGATCTTAAGCGTCGGCGAACCGGCCGTGCCGTAGCCTTTCAAGTGAGTCCTGCCGGTACTATCCTGTTGGTCCCCGCTAAACTTAAAGACTGCCTTAGTGACCATGCTCCCCGCACCGCCCACCGACGTGACAGAAGACGTGTTGGGGCTTTCGGGAGATGGGGATGTAGAGGAGGAGGAGGAGGGAGAGGAAGAGGAGGAAGTCGATCGAGTAGAGCCCTTGGGAGAAAACAGGAGTTTCGTAGACTGTACTCTGGAGTACGGGCTCAAGGTGGAAGATGTCTGGCTTGGACTGCCTTGACCGGTGGAAGAAGCTACCATACCTGCCTTAAAACTTACAGGCGGAACGTTCTCAATGACCGTCTTGTCGTCTTCGCTGTCGCTGCTGCTCTCCAAGTCCGCCTTCCCGTGGTGATGCTCGGTTTCGACGGACGCGCAGGGGAAGGGGTTCGGTCCCCAGGCGGATACGACCGGCTTGTCGGGCGCGTTTTTGAGCCACGGGGAAGTTTTCCTCGTCTCTTTCGTAGTCGTCGCCTTTTCTGCTGCGTCTGTGTTCTCAGCACTTCTTAGTAGATTCTGCTTCACGGTACTTACATAGTTCTTACTCTCTGCGGCGGCTCCAACACCCTCCCGTCTTCTTACCTCGTTCTCAGGTGGGTTTTCTGTCTGTGTCCCAGCACTCCTAAGGATAGCTCTCGGCTTTACCACGTCCCCACTGGCGGCGCCCTTTAGGAGACTCTTCCGCATGTCTTCGAGCTGTTTTCTGTACTCGTCCACCTCTGTCTGCAGGTCTCGGTTCTTTGCCTCCTCTCGGCTCAGCTTGGATCTGAGCTGTTCCCGCTCGATGTCAAACTCGGACAGCTGTTTCTCCATCTCAGCCTCCATCTTCAGCGACTTCTTGCTCTCCTGGACCAGCCCCTCCGCCATGTTGCGTACCTTATGTAAAGAGAGTTAAAATCATCTTTATCAAGTTTTGTCAAACATACAAGATAAATAGTGAAAACACCTATCATGAGTTAAGGAACTCACGGGACGCAAGGTAAGTATGCGTGCATCAGAATATCTGAACGCTGAAACTGCAGTTCAAAAAGGAGCTCAATTAGGTATAATCAATTGAATAAAGGTACACATTATTAGTATCACACTAAACATACTCATACACACAAAGTTGAACTTAAAGCCACACAATAATTCCCCAAAAAACAGGTTGGGATAGTTCATCCTCACTTTGGCACAACTGAAAATTATTTTTGGGACAGTACTGGGGTAATAATAAGAAAAGTTAATTGCAATCCTGCAAATTTTGCAATCTATAATGGAAGGTTTTAGGTGGTTTGGAAAGAAAAGGGTTTTTTTTGTAATGAGTCCGGAATCGGGTCTTAACTTTTAGTTTTTTTGGACTTGAACCTACACATTTTTACAAGTCCGGAACCGATCCAGCGTACTGGTACACAGCACTACTTGCAAACTTCAGACAAACCTTGTCCTTCTCGTCCTGCAGGCCCTTGTGTGCGTCCTTAAGCTGCTGTCTCTCCTGGATGAGTTTGCTGGCCAGACGTTTGCGCTCCTTGGCCAGGAGAACCCCGATCTGCTGATGGTGTGCCCGCTCCTCCTCCAACATGGCCACCGCCTTGTTCTTGTCCTTCTCCATCTTCCGCAGCTGAGATTTCTCGAAGTCAACCTGGAATTATGCATACAGGGAAGTGAGCTTAATGTTTGTATAGCACTACAGTGTCGTACTTGTACTCAAGTAAATATCGCTTGGTAGATTCAAGACCCAAACATTGACTTTTTGCTCATTTTGATCCTACAATGGGGAAAAGTTGACAGCAGTTCTAGTACAGGACTGAACATAATTCTTTTTTTGTTGTTGCTTTATTACATAACAAAAACTGTTCACAAACATGTACATAACAGAGCAAAACAGGTACAGATAAAACAACAAATTGCCTCCCTTAAACATATAAAGCTCTAGCCACAGATAAACATTATGATTGTTATAATATTGAACATTAATCAGAACACCATCCTCACCTGCTGACTTAACCTCTCCCTCTCCTTCTCCAGCATGTAGGTGACGTCGTCTCCCTGGGCCGTGTCCTGGGCATGTTTCCTCTTCTCCTCCTCAAGTTCATGGACAACCTGGAACACAGGAAACAACATGATGTCTTGTTACTCGAGGGTCAAGATTTCACCAGCAGTTTATTATCGGTACATTTTTTTATTGGTAGACCTAAAACTAAAGTGATTAAAAAAAACTTAAGTGATTAAAAACGACCATTTTTCATTACCTCGGGGGAAGGAGATATCCTTCCGCGAGGAGGTTTTACTATGGTTCGAAACATTTCTGTCAGCAGCTGTTTCTCGCGATCGGCTGGACGGATTTGTCTGTGGTTCGGTATACGTATTGCTGTTGGGCTGCAGATGATGCAGAACGTTTTTGTTTAATTGTATATGTGTTTATGGGCGTGGAAATAAAAGGTTTTTAAGTGCTCCGGACACCCCCGCCATGCTGAAAATGGAATTTACCATGTTGTTAAGGAATGGGGAGGTTTCAGTTTTGGGTCTTACCATTTAAAAGGGGTCAAACAGAGGGGTGTCTGCTTCCGATATGTATTTTGAAATATTATCGCAGTTGTATCTCGCGTTGGGGTAGACTGGACTCGGTGTATGTTCTGCTAATGGGCTGTAGATGGTGCAGGTTTTTTTTTGTTTTTATTGTATATGTGTTTTGGGGCGTAAAAATCTGAAAATGGTCGCGCGCGGCACTGGGCTGGCTGCCAGCGCAACTTCCGGGTGGGCCAATGGGTCAGGGGTCAACGCCCTCTTGCGCAATCTTGGATGTTTTCGGCGTATATTACGACTTCTTAACTTACAAATACCGTGGTATACTGTCTCAGACGTTCTCGACATGCATTTTTACCGTGGGTACATGGTATGGGCTGCAGATGAAAATGTTGACCAGTCCTGTATTAACACAACCAGGAACGCTAAATCTAACACATAAAATTCAACACCATCAACTATACAGAACAAACAACATGGAAAAATATACAATAAAAAGCCCGGAGGTATAAAATCTCAGATTTTACTTGTTTACCTCTGTATCTTTAGCTACTACTTTCCTATAATTTAAATGCTTCCCTCAAAATCTTGTAGCTTTATTCTTGTATCCTGTGACATACAAAAGCAATTCATAATTGAAAATACTAATAGTATGGACAAGTAAATAAATTGAATAACATGAAGCACAAGTAATAAGCCTGGGTGCCAGACCCACAGCACACTAGGCTCAAGGTTATCCAGCTCTGCACACTGGATAACTTTTGGCCTTGTGTGCTGTGGGTCTGGCTCCCAGGCTACAAAAGTAAAGAATCCACCGATTTCACCTTTTTATGTCTCTTCTCTGCTGCTGTCATCTGTATCATCATCTTCTGGTGGGTTTTCTTCTGCTGGGAGATGAGAGCCTCCAGGTGCACCATGGCGCTGGCGTAGACCGGCGAGTTGTCGTGTACCTCCTCGCTCGCCTCCTGGGCGTCTCGGTTCAGCGCCGAGAACGGGTCCTCCAGCTGGAGCTTGCCGTATCGCTCCTGCATGATCGCTGATCTCGCCTTGTCACTCTGAAAATAACAGATGATGTTAATGAAGGCTAGACATTTAGGTAACAGGTTTTTCTAGAAAAATTTAGCTCAAGGGAGCAGATCACTAGCAAATTGATGAGGGAGCAAAGGGACTGAGTGGGGGTTGGTGTAGGATTTTGGAATTTTTACAAGAGTAACACAGTTTGTAATGCTAGAATGCATTGTTAGGACGTTTTGGTTTTATATTTTCACTGGAAAGACCATTTTGGGAAAGACTTAATGTTGTGTGCAATCTGAAATTTGATACGGGGGAGCTGGCTGGTTACATTAGGCAGCAGTGCCCTTATTCAGATACAGAAATGACTGAAAAGCTGTGGATGCTACTTGAAACATTTTTCAACAGTTCTCAAAATCTATCCAGTAACTGTTGCTCGAGTTAAAATTTCCTTGTGTACAATCAATTGAGCATAACCTCTGAGGCATTGCAAGAAAATGACGCTTACAAATCCGAATCATACATTACGCTATCGATAAAGTCATAACACACAACTTGATTACTACGAACATGCCATACTTCATGTATCATTAATAAGTTTGCTTTAATATATTTTCCTCTACAGCAGAGAAAGACTTAAAGCAGTGGATGCTACTTGAAGCATTTTTCAAGTTTTCATTCAAAATCTATCCAGATGCTTGAGTAAAAATTTCCTCGATACGAACATGCCATATTTCATGTATTATTAATAACTTTGCTTTAATAAACTATCCTCTACTGCAGAGAAAGGCTTAGAGCTATCTTGTGCCATCATGTTTGAAAGCACTGTACATGTAGTTGTAAAGAAAATGACCGAGGGGCGATGGCGGAATATGAAATCGTGACTCTAACATGCCCGGTAGCGTCACCTTACTTCCGGGCTCCCTTATATGTGATGACGATAATTACGACGGCCATATGAAAGGCTTTAGCAGGACGTCAGATTTACGTAAGGGATCACAAGCGACGGTGCAGCTACATTTATCTTCTGGGCTTCGTAAGGAGACACCCTTTTCATGCTCGCGCAAATTTACAGGCGATGCCAGTTGCGTTGGCGCGGCCTTCCGTCACGTGGAGGCCATTACCGCTGCTCATGACAGTCGGGCCCAGGGCCACACCAATTTAATTTGTTGCTTCTCGGATTCGCCCTGTCCATTTTTTTCTGATTTGCAAAAAAAAAAGATTTTAGGTTCTGAATCAACTGCAAAATGCTCAATGAAAGACATATTTTGGCCCTACGGTTGAAGAAAGTCCCTTTCTTTCTAATTTTTTGATGTACTAAATGCAATTTTGTGTCATTTAAAGTTCAAAAGCTATTGTTACAATTATAAACCAGTCTGGTATGTTGACTTAATGGCTCATATGGTAACATTTCTGGCTATCATGGGGTGCCTTGGCCTTTTTTTTCCCGCCCTGCTGCTTCATATTTTTTCTGAAAAATTACAAGAAGCAAATTAAAATCACTGAAATCTAAAAAAAAAGAAAGAAGAAAGATAATCCCTACCTACGGACTCAAATTTTTTCAGGAATGAAACAGGAAACACAACATTTTTTTCCTAGGCCTCACTAGAAGGCCGCGGAACGGATTATGGATGGCAAGCTCGGGGATTTAAACACTAATCATGTGACGCGGCACGGTGGTGCTTTTGTGCCGACAGATAGTGATATGATAGATGGATCTCTTTAATGCGGGGGATGCGGGGTTGCGTTTATCTGTTAGGGTTGGCAATACTTGGAAGACAGAAAGCTTTCTAAGGCTTTTAGTCAACCCTCAAAGGACGTTTTTTTAAGATACATACATGTAGCTAGGTGGAACATGTCCTTTTGGAGTCAGACATGTAGATTTGACAGTTTGGAAGCTATTTTATTAAATATTTAAAACAAAACTGCCATTTTGTGGGGGGGGAATAGAAAATGTTAAGGTGGAGGTCAAGAGAGCACCATAGTTACAAATGTCTATCCAACACCATCATAATGTTGTCTTCTACTAGGATCTGAATATTTGATGTATGTACATGTATGTGTGAGTCAGCTGTTATAATACTGTCATCATTCATCAAACATACATATCAGCTGATCAGACCCATCAGTGTTGGTTACTTAATACTGGCCTGTTTACCAAACCTATTCTATAGCTCCAGAGTCCTACAGCCTCTCCGCAAATATTTTCTATAATAGGTTTGGTAACCAGGCTAACTTAATACGGGACAGTACACTGTACATCTCATCCCATCTTCTCATCATACTTATTCTTAGACAAAAATTGTGCATGCTAATTGCTATGTGATGGGTATTTCAAGCATAACCATCAAATCTTGACATGTTGACTGTTTTATACACTTGTACATAGCACCTTAGAGGAATTTATAGTTTTTAAAATCACCATTATGGTTGACTTTGAAATGAAATTGAACATGCTAAACAAGGATTCCACCAAAGATAATGTAGTAAATAAATGTAAAAAGTGAACCACAGGGGGAGTTGCTAAAAACCTTTTCAAGCAGGACAGAATTGTAAAGGGTTCTTTCAGCTGGAGTCAATTATCATAGGGAACGAACCCGGGTTTCTCTTGATGAATAATGTCAGTTACTTTGCCCCCCCCCCCACATGTCATAGAACATGATGTATGACAAGAGTCATTTGCCTGTGACCCTGAGGTCAAAAGTCGTGATTTCTGGTCAACCTGCCAGCCACAAAGTTAACATACATACAGAGTTCTCATGCAATTATACTTGAGTATCATTCTTCCGATATAATCTCTAGAGTTTGATGCTTAGTCATTCATCATTCTGTATTACAAAGATCTTTTAAGCCATTCTCCTGTCAGCTTATATAGATATTTCCTGTGGCTATAATAGTAATACTCTTCTGACGTACCCATATAAAATCTATAGGGCCTAAGAAAAAATGTTGTGTTTCCTGTTTCAGTCCTCAAAAAATTATGGTCGGTAGGTAGGGATTATCTTTCTTTTCTTTTTTTTGAGACTTGGCGATCTCTAGCGATCCAACTTATACAATACAGTTTAAGTGAAACTTGCATCAAGTCACATATTTTCCTTGTCAATATTGGAAAACTGATAGCACAACGTTTCATCCCTCTGGTGTCAGATAATAAAGCTAGAAAAGGACTAGAAGCTCGAAAAATTTATGTCCTTTGCATGAGTCCACACGAAAAAAAGGCTAGGGCTAGCAGTTTTTTCTAGGGTCGGTCGGGAAACAGAACATTTTTTTCCTAGGCCTAGATAGATATTTCCAATGTTAAGTTCAACCTACTTAGTATTCCATGTGGGACCTGCCACTATCAGAAGGTTATATGTAATATCTGACAATATGAATAGATGTCAGATTTTTCCCTTCAAGGATATTTCTGTATGAACTACTGTATATAATAAAGTTACTGCATACCAATTACAACATTGTACAATATAAATTATCAATATTGTAGCATGAATCGTTGTATACACTACGTGACGATGAACACGTTTCAATAATAAAATATGTATCACGCAATCATATACATAAATTTTATATTTTTGTCCTTAAGTAATAAAGTTACTGCATACCAATTATAAAATGTACAATGTCAATATTGGTGCATGAATCATTATATACACTAAGTGATGATGAACACACGTTTCAATTTATGTATCACGTAATCTTATAGTTATGTAAATTTTGTACTTTTGTCCTAATTTTCATGTATTGACAAGGATCTAAATGATTCTCTGAAGTCTTTGAATAATTTCAAACGAGACTTGAGATCAAAAGATTGCACTGCACTCTTCTTGACGATGAACACATTTCGATTTATGTATCACGCAATCATAGATTCATACACACAAATTATTATACTTTTGTCCTAATTCTTATGTATTGACAAGGATCTTAATGATTCTCTGAAGCCTTTGATGAATAATTTCAAACAGGACTCAAATTCGTCAAGATCAAAAGATTGCATTGCACTCTTCTAGATTGTGAACACGTTTCAATTTATGTATCACGCAATCATACGCACAAATTACTATACTTTTGCCCTAATTTTCATGTATTGACAAGGACCTAAATGATTCTCTGAAGTCTTTGAATAATTTCAAACAAGATTCAAGAATGATCAAAAGATTGTGCTTCACTCTTCTTGATGATGAACCCATGTTTCAATTTATGTATTATGCAATCATATACACAAATTATTATACTTTTGTCCTGATTTTCATGTATGAACAAGGATCAAAATGGTTCTCTGAAGTCTTTGAATAATTTCAAACAAGGCTCAAGATGAAAAGATTGCACCTCACTCCGATTGTCAACCCCGATTTAGTGCTCATCCTACCAAACACTGACCCCAATTCTACCCAATAAACCTCATTTGCCAACGTGTAGAGTTCTATGTGAGGAGAATGAGTATTGTAGAAAAGTTGCCAAAAGGGCAATTTAATTTGTTGGTTCTCGGATTTTTCAGAAAATATATGAAGCGACAGGGCAAAAAAGTAAATAAAAACAGGTCTAGGTATCCTATTGTAGCCCCAAATGCTATGAAAGGAGCCATGAAGTCAACACAAAAGGCTGGGTTAATATTCAAACAATGAATTTTTATCAAAACAATGCATTGAATAGCATGCTGTTGCGATTGCCTGTTTCTGATATTCATGAATGTATACATGTATTCCTATTGGATTGTGCTGAGGGTTATGATTTAAGAGCATGCAACATTTCTTATCATTTCTGTTTCTGATGAGATTTCATATTCAAAACAATAAAACAAAAGATATGAACAATGTAAATTATCTTGCCAAAAATTTTGTTACATTTCGTTATTGGTTTCCTTGAAATCCATCCAGAAAGGCAGACAATCTCCGTGCCAATATCTGGTCTCCTCATGCATTCACCCATGCAATTTTTGTATCAAAAACCTTGATAGACACTTCCCAGGATGCTTTGAGAGGATGCCAATTTGATAGTCTTTGTATCAGATGTTTGTGCTACGTTGCCAGCATATCTAG